TCTTATGCTGATTGTTTTTCAGGTTTCTATACATTTAGGCAAAATAAAATCCTCAATATATTATTTAAAATGAACTACGTTAATACCATTTGAACCTAATTCTTATTGTAACTATTATCACAACCTTAATGCAATATCTTCATCATCAATAAGTTGATGATATTTTTGATGCTTTCTATGACACGAAACTGGAAATGATTGGTAATTTAAGTAAAATTTGACCATAGAACAGATCCATTTAGCAGTATATGGATTTAAAATAATATAAACTATTTGTGTTACTTCTTCACTAGCTTTCATTTTTTTATTGCCATTATTTATCCATATAAGATATTCATAGATAGTATGCTGTCTGTTATATTTAAAGACTGTTAGCATTTTTCTATTCTTAATAAGATCATCTTGAAGTTGTGCAATTCTTTCACAAAATATTGAATTTTTATTTGTTTTTGACAAAGATTTAAGTAGTACAGGTAATACTAATAATAAAAAAGAAGATAGTGATGAAAACGAAAAAGAAGATGGTAATAGATATAAAAAAGAAGATGGTGATAGTGACGAAAAAGAAGGTGACAGAAGCAGAAAAGAAGATGATAATAGAGATGAAAAAGAAGATGGTGATAGAAAAGGAGATGACAATAGTAATAGTAATAGCGATGATGATAAAAATGGTAATGATAATAGAACAGGAGAACTTTTAGTAAATTTACTGATATAACTATTTGAAGATACTGAAAATTTGAACAACACAAAAGAACCACCAGCAGATCTACTGCTACTCCAAAAACTAGTAATTTTAGATATTCCTTTAAAAGTATTGGCAAGTATACTAAAAGTATCAAACTTATGATAATAAGTTATTTTTAGTATTCCTTTTCTTATTCTTTTATTTTTTTTAGAGTTATTCTATATAAGAGCTATTACAAATAAACACATTTATATCTTTTCTTTTAATTCAATTCCTTTCTCTTTCTTCTTAATGGACTCTATATTTTTGTTAGTCTTAGTTTTTCCTTTTTATCAAATGACAATTATTTTCGCTTATTGTATTCTTGAAGTCTAATAAATTTTATTTTTACTTGCAACATTTTAAAATACTTTTTTCACCAAAAATCCAAAAAACGTGACTTTCTATTAACTAATTAAATTTTACGTGTAATTTTATTAACTTTTTATTAGCTAATATTAAGATTAAGTCATATATTTGTCTTACTGGATACTAATTATATGAAAAAGAGGTATTTTTAACTTGATATAAGTCGGAAATAAGCAATTATCTTAAAAAAAAGAGACTGACAATTTGTAATAAATTAACTTAACTTCAAAATAATAGTTTCCTTTTTTTGATATTATTTTTGTATTATTTTTTATAACTAAAGTTCTGCATAAGCCGGCTTGGCTTGGATTGCCACCAGCTCGAGCCGAGCTACTTTTTTTTTGGCTCAGCTCAGCTCAGCTTATGGAGATTAATTAATAAGCCAAGCCAAGCCAATGCGGCTTGCAAGCTGACTCATTCAGCTTGCATTTATATTTAGAAATGAAAAACTGTCAATAAAAACGTTTCTCATAAAGAGAAATATTCCCAGAATGATTCCCTTCGAGAGGAACATTTCCAGAACGATTCTCTTTGAGAGAAACATTTCCAAAATGATTCCCTTCAAGAGAATTGTTTCTGGAGCGAATTCCATAAAGGTTTTCACTTTTAGAACGATTTCTTTAAAGGATTTCACTTCCAAAACGATTTTCTTGAAAGATTTCGCTTCCAGAATGATTTCCTTGAAGGATTTCGCTTTCAGAGCGATTTTTTTTAAGAAAACGTCCCAGATGCATTTTCTTTAAAGGAAACATTACCAGGGTTGTTTTTTTCAAAGGAAACGTTACTAGAACAATTTTTATTAAAAGAAAACGTTACTAGAGCCATTTTTCTTCAAAGAAAAACTGCCTTTAGAATTATTTTCTTCAAAAAAGAAAATACAAGCCAACGAGCTGAGCTGCAACACGAGCTAAGTCACAGCATAAGCCAGCTTATCTAGCTCATGGCTCGTTTTATAGTGGCTCAAGCTGAGCCTAAATGAGCTGGTTCGTTTGGCTTTCAAGCGGCTCAGCTTATGCGGAGCTCTATTTATAACCTTTTAAAAATTAACAAATTTATTAAAATCTTTAAATGTCACACACTGTAAATTTTACCTTTTATTATTTAAATGACTTGCAAAAACTCTAAATTTTACTTAGTAACTTTAAATATAATAAATTTTTATAAAATATTTTTTAATTTTTTTAATTTTTAATATATGCTAAAAAATTATAATTTTTTTATCAAATTACTTTATTTTAAATATATTATAAATAAATTGCTATTATAAAATTTAAATTTTAAAATACAAAAAATTTAAAATAGTAATTAAAATTTTTAAAAAAATATGTTATTTATAATTAAAAATATTAATATATACTAAAATTTTATTTTATATAAATTTAGATATTAAATTTTTAATTTATTTTTTTAAATTAATAAATTTTTTTTTAACCTATAATAACTTTTAATCCTTATATAATTTGATTTATTGATTTTTTAAATTTTTAAATTTTTAAATACAATCTAAAATATTATAATTTTAGTTAAAATAATCTAAATTAGTTAAAAATTTAATAGCTGAATTTAAGCTGTTTTTAATATTGAATTATTTGTTTTTTAATTAATCTAAATCAATATTAATCAATTCTAATCAGATAAACAAATTAGTATTAATTCTGAACATAAATTTAATAATAAATTAGCTTAAATTAATTTTAATTTAGTATAATAAATATTATAACATTATTTAAATTTAATCAATATACAAATTATATTTTATATGTTTTAATAAAAAGCTTAATTTCTACTTTTAAATAAGATATATAAATAAATCATGTAATATTATTTATATAAATTGATTAATTGTAAAGCTTAACTATTTATATGTTTTTTAATTTGCTATATTTGTCATTTTTTATAATTTATTAAATTTAGCTAAGAATTTATTATTTATATATCTTTTAATTTATTTCTTTTATGAAAATTTAAAGTTTAATATATAACATATTTTACTATTTTATATCTTTATAATAAAAAAATTAAATTTTATTTACAAAAAACACATTTACTTTTATTTTAAAAAATCCTTAAAAATGAGTTATTAAATTTATTTAATTATTTTTAAATTTAATAAAAATTCAATTATGATTTGCAATAAGTATCAAAAATTTATTAATATTTATATTTATAATATTATAGTAAAAATAGAAAATAATATTTTAAATTATATTACTATTTGTTATAAAATCATAATAAAATGAAAAAAAACATTAAAAGTAATATAATAAAAAATATATTACTATTATAATTAATTTATTTATTTATTTATTTTTTTTATGTGCGGTAGCTTTGCATAATCTTTATTTAGAAGTAAAGTAAAATTTTACAAAATTACAAATTATGAGATAGAAAGCACAAAAATTTCTATTTAGCAAAAGAACTAAATCAAAATCAACATTGCACTGTTTCACACTAACCTACCCAAGTATACTTAGAATAGGTTCAACTATTTAGTACAGAGGGACATAATTGCTACTGATCTAAAAATTTAACCAGCTTGTATCAAACCTAAATAAGGAAATGAAATATGGGAGAATACTAAAATCGTATGGTGGTGATGAAGGAAAGCCTGTGTTGGTGAAATGTAATTTTTGATCATTGAATGAGATGTTATTGAGGTTTTCAAAAGATTTGATAACATTGCAACGATCAAGCCAGATAGATTTTATTTGTAAGAACGCATGATGATAAGTAGAAAACAGGAGACCGTTTGTTAATTGAATATTATTAATAAGGCAGTGTGTTTTGTTGAATAGGGGAAGGGATACAATTCCTTTGATCAAGTCAATAAGTTAAGAGAGTCAGATTGATCATTTAGGAACTATATGGTTAAATCTAAAAGATCTGTGAAATCCTGAGTATCTGAGGTCAATGTAGTAAAATATTGTATAAAAAAACTTTTTGTTGAGGATATAATGTCAATGAGTTAGTATGTAATTTTTTCACAAGTCCAAACATGATTAAAGGTTTCATAAGTACATGAGCATTTAGGACAATTCCATGATTGGTTATATAGATTTAAGTATTTTAATTTGAGGATTTCTAATGTAGAGAGTAATTTAAACATAAATTTAATTTTAAATTTACGAGTAGATGAGATTTTGAAGAATGTATAAGAGTTGTTTTCATTATCATTGAAAATAAAAGAGGTTCAAATTCAATCAATATCCATTGTATAGTATTTTTGAAGTGTGAAAGTAGTTGTATATTATGAAAATCAATTGATTTGAGAAGGTCTTTCAAGAACAATCTAGGTGGAATAAAAACAATATTCTTATTAAAATAGAGATTATAATGATGTCCTAGAAATTTGTTATTTAATGTGATTGGAAAACCATCAGCTTTAACTAATGCATCAACTATATTATTATAATGATCATTTGAGTGCAGTATTAGTATATGACATCATATGACTTATATGACTTATATGATTTGTCATTTGTCATTTGTCATTTATAATATTTATGACCTTATGATATTGTTATATAATTTTAACCAATCAAAAAAGAGTATATATAATTTCAATTTTATTTATTTTTTAAATAGAAATAATAATAAATAATAATAAAATAATAAATAAAAATAAAAAATAAAATAAAATAAATAAATAAATAAATTAAAAAAATTATAAAAAAAAACCCAAGAAGGGGATCTGAGGGATACTCAGTACCCCCCAGGAAAAATTTTTTATATATTAATTATTAAGTTTAAATTTTATTACTGTAAAAATAGACTTTATTCATATTTATTCATTTTTGAAAAAAGTTTCAACATATGTAGGGTGGTTCTAAACTATTTGTAAAAAAAAGAGATAATTTCCATTTTGCATTTAAATCATTAGCTAGATGAACATTTTGATTTCCTATCAAAAAATCATAATCTAAATCTCCATTAAGCAGCAATTCATCATTACTATTTTTAACCTGATTTTCATAATTAGCCTTTTCAATCCATTGAGAAATAATTGCTTTCCATTGATTTTTATTTTCTTCAGTATTTAGTTCTATTTCATCTTTTTTTCTTTTTTCTTTATCATCATTTTTTATATTATTATCATCATCACTTACTATTATTAAATCATTTTTATCAACATTTTATTCTTCTTTATTAGAATTATTAGAATCATCAACAATTAGAATTGCGATATGAAACCTTCTTATTTGCTGATCAATTTGAGTAATTTTTTTAATTTAATGTTGATATAAAATATTATTATAAATTTTATTTATTGCAAGAACCTTTGTATGCTAAATAATAATAAATAAATAAAAAATTTTAAGTTTTTATAAAAATTATTAATTATTTTTTAATATAATATTAAATTAATATTCACATTTAAACGATTTCGTTTAATAGTATGAAAAAAATCTATTGATGACTATAAACATTTTACTGAAGCAGAATTTACACAAATACCATGAATATAAATAGCTACTTTAGCTAGTTCTAATCCAATTCCTATTGTTGATTCCTAAAAATCTAATACATTTTCTCAAAATTGAAGAAAAGAATCATTATCATAAGAATCATCCTCTCTTTTATAATTAATTAATTCTGCTAAAATTGTTTTAGCCAAAATTCCAAAAAAGCAAGATAATAATATTTCAACCATTGACCAATATATATCCAAGTTAAATTATTTGCTATTGATTGAAATTTTGATAATCGATAAGATAGATGAAGTATAATAGAAAGTAATAAAAGTAGCTATTCCTAATCCTTCTATCTTTTTTCTATTCTAGATATCATTTTTTCTGAAAAGACTAGATCATGATATTCAGAAAAAATTTTTGTGATATATGCAAAACAATATACTACTTCATAAAGTCATGCTGTATCTTTTTGTAATTTGTTTAAAAATCCACATAAAGGATATAATAAATTTTGTA